ATATTTGAGGGGCTGCCCGGAGAAGGCGGGGGGGGGGGGGTTCAAGTTATTCTCAAAAGCACCTGAAGGCAGAACAAGAAGCAACGGATGGAAACTAATCCAGGAGAGAAGCAACCTGGAATTAAGGAGAAACTTCCTGACAGTGAGAACAATTAACCAGTGGAACAGCTGGCCACCGGAAGCTGTGGGCGCTCCAACACCGGAGGTTTTTAAGAAGTGATAGGACAGCCATTTGTCTGAAAGGGTAACTTGTCTGAAATTGAGTAGGGGGTNNNCCAATAAAAACTACCCAAGGTTTGCAAACAGTCCCCCCCCCTCTCTCCATCACGTATCACAACTTTTCAAAGGCAGCTGTCCACCCCCTCTGACATCCACGTCCAGCTGCACCCGGAAATATCAACCTCAGATTCCCAAATGGGCCCAATCTTCCATGCGTCAAGTCTGACCTCTTTTGAGATCTTCACTTTTTTCTGTGTTTTTTTTCTTTCCCCCTTACCAGCCTTGAATTCTTTTTTGTTCCTTCGTTGCCTCCTTGCAAGCTTCTTAAAGGTAAGACTTTTATTATTATTTTATTTTATAAAATTATTATTATTATTTTAAATTTTGGCCACCCGTTAATGCTCCAACACTGGACGTTTTTTAAGAAGAGACGGGACAGCCATTTGTCTGAAAGGGGATATGGGTTTCCTGCCCGAGCAGGGGGTTGGACTAGATGACCTCCAAGGTCCCTTCCAACATCATCATCATCATCATCATTATTGTTATTGTTGCCATTACTATTATTATTATTATTATTATTATTATTATTATTATTATTCTGCATTTTTCGGCACTGTGTTCCTGGTTAAGCCACCAGCACAAATAAAATTCCTTTATTTTATTTTTTAAAAAAATAAGGTTTGTTTTGTTTGTTTTTTGTTTTTATTAAATTTATACCCCGCCCTTCTCCTGGCGGACCCAGGGCGGCTAGGAGAAGGGCGGGGTATAATATGTCTTTATTTCATTTATTGATTTTGTACCCTACCTTTGTTATTTTGTACAAATAACTCAAGGGTGGTGAACATTTCCAAGACACTATTTTCCCCACAACAATCCTGTGAGGTAGGCTGGCTTGAGAGAGGGGGACAGGCCCAAAGTCCCCCAGGCAGTCAGTAATTTAGGACCAATCACCAGGTGGCTGTGAGTTCTAGTCCCGCCTTAGGCATAAAAGCCGTCAAGGTGACTTGGGCCAATTACCAGGTGACTGTGAGTTCTAGTCCCACCTTAAGCAGGAAAGCTAGCTGGGTGTCTTTGAGCCGGTCACCAGGTGGCTGTGAGTTCTAGTCCCGCCTTAGGCATAAAAGCCGTCAAGGTGACTTGGGCCAATTACCAGGTGACTGTGAGTTCTAGTCCCACCTTAAGCAGGAAAGCCAGCTGGGTGTCTTTGAGCCGGTCACCAGGTGGCTGTGAGTTCTAGTCCCGCCTTAGGCATAAAAGCCGTCAAGGTGACTTGGGCCAATTACCAGGTGACTGTGAGTTCTAGTCCCACCTTAAGCAGGAAAGCCAGCTGGGTGTCTTTGAGCCGGTCACCAGGTGGCTGTGAGTCCCGCCTTAGGCATAAAAGACATCAAGGTGACTTGGGCCAATTACCAGGTGACTGTGAGTTCTAGTCCCACCTTAAGCAGGAAAGCCAGCTGGGTGTCTTTGAGCCGGTCACCAGGTGGCTGTGAGTTCTAGTCCCGCCTTAAGCAGGAAAGCCAGCTGGGTGTCTTTGAGCCGGTCACCAGGTGGCTGTGAGTTCTAGTCCCGCCTTAGGCATAAAAGCCGTCAAGGTGACTTTGAGCCAATCACCAAGAAACGGTGAGTTCTAGTCCCGCCTTAGGCACGAAAGCCATCAGGGTGACTTAGGGCTAATCACCAGGTGACTGTGAGTTCTAGTCCTGCCTTAGACATGAAAGGTGACTGGGGGAGCTTGGGTCAGTCCTTCTCTCTCTCTCGTCCTAACCCGCCTCAAAAGGTTGTTGCTGTTTTGGGGAAAATAGGTGGAAGAGGAAGTATTAGCTAAGTCCTCCGCCTTCCTTGAGTTGTTTATGAAGGTGGGATATAAAACAATCAATCAATCAATTTATAGTCCCTCCCCCCAAACTTAACCATGGGACAAACACCCCGTGTGGAGAAGAATCAGCAATAGAATAGCAAATTTCACCCTTGTGTAACATATGTACTACACAGGGTCTCCTGCTTGAAGAGCGGGTTGGACTGGATGACCTCCAAGGTCCCTTCCAGCCCTGTTTCCTTCTATGTTTTATCATTATCTGCCAGCTCGTAGATGTGTGGAGAGCTCATTTCTTTCGAAGGTGGAGAAATGGAAGTTATGAAAGGCAAACATTTGAAAATCTGGCGGCTTTTTATCAGCTTTTATATAAGCGTTTCGGTGGAGATCACGCAGGGCTGGCATTTCACTCCAATAAGAGAGCGCAAACACCTCAACGAATATTTTTGAAAAATGTTGGAGGGATGTCAAGAGAAGGGATTTTTTTTTTTCCAGAAATGGGTAAATGAAAAAGCGATGCCTTTCTGGGAGAAAATATTCCCAGAAGATAGGGTTAGAACTTAAATTGGGCCCTCAAATTGGGATGATTTTATTATATTTCTGAGGTGGTTAGTACTAAATTATCTGACAAGGAACTGCCCTACGTGTTTATCGTTGGCAGCTAAATTAATAATGGCTTGAACAGCAGAATTTTTTTATATAATTTATCCTTTGAGAAAGGCTAATGGGTAGTCAATTGCTCTTCTTGAAAAAGCTATTGATAAAATTCAGACGCTAAATTCTCTGAGGAGTGAATTGCATTTTGATTGAGCTGGAAAAGATGATAAATAACACTCATGTTATCCGTGAGGGTCATATCCTTGAATCCCATCCTTGTGGAAAGAAAAATCAGGATTATTGAAGCATTTGATCTTAGGGAAATTCCGTGATTTATTCCATACATAGAGTTTTTTAACAGAATAAAAACGACAGCAAAAATAAGAACGAGCTTTCCCACAGTGTAGATTGTAGATTATTTTTCCGTTCTTTGCCTGGTTATATATAAGCTACATGGAGACCATGTTTCAGGAAAATTCTATGACCATAATAAAGATTTGATTGAATGCTTGCATTACACTGTTATAGAAATGTAAAAAGATCCGTTATTTCTCAAGCTTGGCAACTTTAAGATGTGTGGATTTCAATTCCCAGAATTCACCAGTCAGCAAGCCTGGTTGGGGAATTCTGGGAGTTGAAATCCACCACTCTTAAAGTATGACTGGCTGGGGAATATTATATTATATTATTATATTATATTATTATATTATTATATTATCATATCATATCATATCATTATATTATATATATTTATATTATATTATATTATATTATATTATATTATATTATATTATATTATATTAT